TCTCATTTTTATTACAATACATATAAATTCAGCATTGCATTCTTTTTTTGTTTCTATATGTGACATTATTGGTTGATGTCATTTTTAAAATAAAAAAATATTATTCTATATCTAATAGAAACATTGTTAATAAATTTCTGTATTAAATATGAAAAAAAAGTAAAAAACAAAATCAACACAGTTTTTTTTCTATTTAGATCTTATACTATTATATTTTATTCAACCAAAAACAAAACATAAACCCGTCGATATGATACTATAAGACCAGATATATTACATTTGTTTTCTGATTCATTAATGCTAAGAAATAATACAGTGCTCGAACATAAAAATCGATTCTTTAAAAAGAATATAATATTGTATAAAGATAATAATATCAAATGTTTTTACTATAAAATTTCCAGATTAAAATTGAAAAAAAAATTCAACAACTATTTCACGTAATTGTGGTTTGCGATTAGTTTACTCAATTAAACAGAGCAGGGAGTGGGGGGAACAAAAAGAAAAGAAAAAGAGTTGAAACAATAAATATTTGAGATGATTATCTTTTAAATTGATGAATCAATATAATTTTAATGAGATAGCTCGAATTTAATTATAGTCTTTTTAAAATTTGAATGTAAACAAAGTACGCCTTATAAAGGTTGTTTACGGCAGTAAATCCTGTATACGATTTCTGATATATCTCGCCTAGATTGAGATCAGGACTCTGAATGGGATGGAATCGGATGACAAAATCGTCCCATAAGACCACTTAATCTGTACCATCCCGTCCCATCCCATCGGACAAACCCTCTAAAAAAAACATTTTTTACGCCATGATTCAACTTCTATGACTTTCTTATCCAATCAACTCAGTTTCTCTTAACCATTTCCCGTTTACATCAGTTAATTGACATTTAATTTTTTATACTAAACTCATAAACCCTACTACTTTTTTCAACAACAAAAATGCAGATCTAAGAGCTTAGTGAACTTCAACAAATGCGATAGTAAATTCATCAGAAGCCATGGGATCCGTCTGAATTTATTAGACTCCATCAGAATCCAGAATATGCTTTTTTTTATTAGAAGACTTCACTGTATGTTGCTAAACATTAAGAAGTAATAAGACTTCTTCTCCAGTTTATTTCTCATCCATGAATCCTCAGCTTCTGATGAGTTTAGTTTGTTTTCCAAGATTTCTAAAGGTCCCTAAAGATTTTTACGTATTCTAGTGCAATCCAATGAATTTCTGCATATCTTTATGGGCTCTGACGAAGTTTATAATTGTTGAGATTCAGCAGAATCTATCAGAATTTTCAATCAACCTATTGGTTTTCTCTAAACCAAACCTTGTAAAAACTTAGACTGAAAATTAATTTGAAGTAAAGATGGCAAAGATTCCTTATAACAATGTCTTTTTATCCATATAATCAGCAGTTACGGTGGAGAAAGTATTTAAAAATTACACAAGCTTGAAACACACGGAACTTCACGCAATCAGTTTTACTTTTCATGGTTTAAACTTCTATAAAAATATTAAACGTTTTTTCATGAAAGATATAAAAAGAAAGTAAGAAACGAAACTGTTTCTATTAAAAAAACGCTAACAATGAGAGTACAATAAACCCTACGATCCACCGTTTCCCAGGAAGAAGTGAAACGCTGAAAATACCGTTTAAACTGTCATAATCACCCGTTCTGTTAGGAAACGGTGATAAACGGCAAGAAAAAACGTGATCATCACTTTTCTTGCCGTTTTTGCGTCTAGCCAGCGTTTCCAAGCGTTATTCACATTAAATAGTCTCTGAAACAGTTATATAAGTCATTTTCTTCTTCGTAAAAGATAGTGAGAAATGTTTATGATCATCTTTTACAACGAAAACAGCTGTAAATGCTCAAAGTAGATTAATCTTTTTTTGGGACTGGTTCCCATAATTATTTATATTCTCATGAATTTGTATTTTTTTATTGTTTCATAGTACGCGTGAAAGACATTTAGTCCATTTGGAGCTTCCATTTATCTTTTGATCTGCTGAATTACTTCAAAAAAGTATTCGCTGTAGATTTAATTGTGCGAAAAAGAGTTCCTTTGATTAAAGTAAGAATCCGCATAACATTGACATCATATGAATCAAAATCATGTGTTGGTGCGAACATTAGAATATCGAGAAAATACAGGTTGATTTTATTGATTTAAAGTCTCAATTTTCACATTGAAATCCTAATTTTTTGATTATGTTCAAAGCTCGAAACGTACGATACATTATAAGTTCCTAATATTCTCAAACATAAAATTGCTGCATTAGAGTTTTCATTACAAATTATCAACTTATCAGTATATGAGCTAATTGAAACTCGTTTTATGACAAGCAATACAACACTATTAATTATGAGCTACATAATTCAATTAGAAACTCTAGCCAAGTCAAAAGAGAGTAATATTTTCAGTTAATATATATTCGACAAATATATGTGGCATAAACAGAACGGATCTCATATGTTTAGTAATTGATTGTTAGTCTTAATCAAATTGGAGAGATAGAATAGCAAAAGGAAGAAAAGAAAAATTTAAGTCAAGAAATAAAAGAAAAAGTTCAAAGAGAAAAGAAAAAAGAATAACGTTAGAGAAGGACAAAAG